ATGATTATTAGAATTTTAAAACGTTGTGCCTTTGATTTTTTTTTTTTTTACATTTAAATTCCTTAAGTCCCATTTTAGAAAACTTTTCTGAAGTCAAATCACGGCATGTTATTCGAGAAAAGAGTTGTTGCAGCTCTGTTAATGGGGTATACAGATGAAAAAAGTTATATATTGATTGATAGAGCCTTTAAAGGAAGGATACATTCAGCTCAGATCAAAATAAAACTAATGGTTATATAATGAAAGGTGCATGGTCCTTTGCACGCTTGATTTCTCTGTTATTTCCATTTCCCAGATATAAATTGACATAGATTGGAAGATTATACAGATTCCTTAACGTGGAAACACAATTTATACAGGAAATCTAGAGGTGAATTGCAAACCAGATGGTCCAATTCACATAGAGGTTTCGTGATTTGCTGCGATCTGTGAGGTCATATACCACGGGCATACTTTAATCATATTGTTAATTAAAAACTTGCTGATGGCTGTATCCTAATGAAACAATTACAGGAATTTAGCATATGACAACATCCTTTCATAAAGAGAACATATGACAGCATGATTGAAAATTTGTCTTCCCAGTCTATGGTCTTACAACAGGGGAATTGCATTTAATATGCATGTTCTATATTTACATGTGGCTAATGCTTTCTGTTTTTTATTTAATTTTTTTTATTCACAATTAGAGAAAATCAGCTGAATTCTGAAAAATCTGAAATAAATTGTATGTTTCATACGGCAAATATATATTATAGCATTTTTCGCAAAACATGCTTATATTGCAATCAAAAGTAGAGACAGGTAAAGAATCACTACTCAAAATAGTGCAATGTAGTGCAACTGGCAAAGCAAAACTAGTTATAAAAAAGGAGAAGGAATGCCATCGCATTTTTAGGTCAACTTAAAAAGTATGAGGTATTATCATCAATTTAGAACAGTAAAATGAATAAGGTAAATATCTTTTTTTTTTTTTTTTTATTCTTTATTTTCTGTGCTTAGATTAACAATCATGCAGAGCCACAACAGCTTCTGCAGGCATTTTTCATAACATTTTGTAGTTTAGACAGCACATTTTTCTTTTATATAACGTGTGATACATTCATTGAGACAGAAGTGTGTTTTAATCTAGCATGCTAGGCTGACGTGCGTATATCATGGCAAGTTGTACTGAGGCTTTTGAGTATACAGCATTACACTTTTAAGAAATATAGCTGTAATGTTTAGGGTGTAAATTGCATTTTATCAACTGTGTATGTATATCAGCATCTCCACCGCTAGTTTTAAATCAAGTGTGAGTTGCCCCATGCGAAGAGACTAGTGAACAATCGTTATACATGAATGGTTAAGGCAATAGGCATGTGAGGAACTCCTGCAATAAGGTAAATATCTTGATTATTGTATTGGGAGTTGAAACATGCTAAAATTTCCGGTACAAGAAGAAAATAAAATGAACTACACTTAGAGTTGAATATCCACTAAATTGCAAACAAGAAAAAAAATGGCATTTTTATCGATCTTTGCTGTTTAGAACCTAATTCACCGACCACTATTGCATAATATATTAAAGCAAAACTCTCCATTTTCAAGCATGGACAGTAACGCATTATACCCAGTAAATACTGTTGGATCCCTTGCTAAATAAGGAATGCAATTGAGGTACATGTAAAGCATACTAACCTCCCTAGCACTTCTGTGTAAATTGCAAGTTTAATGTCCCATAATGCTCCTGTCTTGCTCATGCATACTTGGGCATCTACAGAGAAATTCAATAGAGGCTAAATTAATTTGCATACTATGCTCTGACTGTGCCAGGACAGACAGGCATACAATGTCAATTAAAAACAGAATTAAAGGGGGGGCGTGGCCTAACACCCGAGGCGCATGGACGTGTCTCCTTAGAGCTCCGAGGAGATACACGCTAAAGGAAAAAAAATAACCGGGCTACATAGAGTCTACTTGTACGATACGCAGGCAGAACCGGTGCAATGTCTCACCGGAGTGCCAAGAAACCGACAAAAGCGGACAAAGCATCCTTCTTTATGGCAAAAGCCGTGAATCCAAGATAGTGGCAGCCAAGGATCGAGGGAAGGCTCTCCGTCTCCCCCCTCCTCACCTACCTCACTATTAGAGGATAGCCCCCTCACAATAGCGACAATAAAGTCATTCATGGCGGACTTCACGTTGCAAATTCAAAGCACCATTACAGGCCAACTGAAAACGCTAGCAGGCGAACTCAGGAGGGACATACAGGACCTGGGCCTACGCACGTCCCACATTGAGAACACAATCAGTAAGCATGCCTCAGCGCACAACAGCATGGCCGACCAGCTTCGCAATCTGCAACAGACCCTTAAAGAACAAAACCTGAAAATTACTGATCTGGAAGATAGATCCAGAAGAAATAATCTGCGCATCAGGGGCATCCCTGAATCCGTCACGAATGAGGCCTTACACAACTACATCCAAACCTTCTTCCTGGACCTACTACCTGAAGTACACCTAGACCAAGTGGTCCTGGATAGGACCCATAGACTCAGGAGGCCCCAACACCTCCCAACTTCGGCTGCTAGAGATGTCATTACCAGAGTGCATTTCTTCCACATCTAGGAGAAAATTGTCAAAGCTACCAGAAACAACAACCTACCCTCCCAGTATGGAGGCCTAAAGATCTTCGCGGACTTGTCAGTGCACACACTCCAATTCCACAAGTCATTAGCCCCTATCACCACTGCACTGAGAGCACACGAGGTTCTATACTGATGGGGCTTCCCAGCTAAACTTATCGTCCACCATGACAACTCAAACCATCCCATCACATCCGCAGAGGAGGGCATGAAGAAACTGGCAGATTGGGGACTCCCTAAACTGGACGCGCCAGTACAACCTGCGGCAAAGATACCCAGACTGTCCAAGGACTGGTCCACTGCCTAACTTGGAGGCTGAGTATACACTGCATAACTACTAGTCCACTATCTCAAGAACCGCTCTACTTATGTTTATATGCTATGCCTTTGTCACTTGCCTAACCTAGTCCCACAGCTGCTAATCAGGGTCCTGCATGTTTAAATGTTTAAATGTATATTCAGTATATGCCATATGTAACCTGTCCGGTGAATGCAACAACTTTTTCAGTTGACGGCTAGAATTGACGCTGCCCACTGGCAATCATAAGCTAGGACACGACACCCTTGCCACAACCGGGTACAGGAGAGACAGGACATTAGAGCATACTGGCTGGGCTGCATGTAAAGTGGTATTTTCCACCCCTACACAACTGGCCAATAACCAAATTACTTTCTCCCATGCATGGCTCCTTCCCCCCCCCAAGAAACGGTCAGCATCACACCAAACTGACCGAAGGCCACTGTACCCCACCCTAACCTGTGCCTATTACACCTAGGCACGATATAGCTCAAGAGGTTGAGCTCCTTGTAAATCTGTTTCTAATGTTTTTCTACACTCCCCTTACTCTCATCCTCTCCTTCCCCTCACCAAGTTTGATTTTGATCATTTGCATTGTTGAGATACCCAATATAACTACAGCTAAACAACTGAGCAATGATGTGCTCTCTGACATATGCACACCTCAAAAGTATGCATTCTATACCACTAGAAAACACAAACCAATAGTTACATGGCATTGAAACATATTTCATGAAAGTAATCTCCTATAATGTAAAGGGGCTCAATTCCCCAAATAAAAGAAGTTTATTATTTCAGACTCTGAAACAACAACATATCGATATAGTATGTATTCCGGAGACCCATTTTAAGTCATCACTGGAACCAAAGCTATTTAATAAACACTACCCCACTCAATATCACTCTAAATCCATTAATAAAACAAAAGGGGTGTCGAATCTCATTAGCAGGGATATAGCCTTGACTGTTCAGAGGCAATACATTGACACGCAAGGAAGATTTATTATTTTAGTGGGCCTCTTTAATGGCACACAGTACACGCTGGTTACAGCTTAGTTCCCCAACTCTGACCCAGTGGGCTTTTTGACCACGCTTCTCCAGACAGTGGAGGACTACCATCAGGGAGGCCTCATTTTGTGTGGGGACTTCAACTTTATCCAATCACCACAATTGGACACTTCGGCTAAGCCATCTCGCAATAGGGGTAGATGCCTCTCCAACACTTGCAAAAACATCACCGCCCTCATCTCGAAGCATGGTCTCTACGATGGCTGGAGAACTACACACCCCACAGAGAGGGACTACACATTCCACTCGGGGTACACAATTCCTATTCCCGCATAGATGCGTTCCTGCTTGACGGTACATCACTAGCCCAAATGGCAAATTGTAGCTTAGGAACATTTGCTTGGTCAGACCACTGCCCAGTCTACATTACACTACATGACGCTTTCCAATTCAGGGGAAAAAGGACCTGGAAGCTTAATGAGTCACTGCTATCTGATGATGCCTTTGCTGGCATTGTAAAAACCGAATTAGACCACTACTTTCACCTGAATAACGGGGGAGATGTATCTGAAACCTCGGTCTGGCTGGCCCATAAGGCAGTCGTACGAGGTTTATTCATTAAGCGATCCGCGTACCTAAAAAGGCAGAGACAGGGCGAGCTCCTCCAGTGCCATGAGCGAATTGCGGAACTGTCATGCAGAAATAAGGTAAACCTCACCAGGGAGCTAGCTGCGGAAATCCAACAAACACACCGCAAATTACACACACTGAACGCAATGAAAACCGCGTACCTATTGAACAGATTGAAAGCTAATACTTACCACGCCAGTGGGAAAGCCAACAAATACCTGGCGGCACGGTTGCGAGATAGACTATCAACTAACAAGATAGCGCACATACTAGGGGAAGACGGGACAAAAAAACTGGGGCCACAAGAGATTAGCGATACATTCGCCCAATTTTACTCTAAATTATACAATCTGAAAGATGACCCCAACACACACACCCCCACAGACGTAGAAGTGAAAACATATCTGGACCGCATTAAACTACCTAAACTTTCACAGGACCAAATTGAGGCCCTGTCGCGCCCCCTCACGTTGACTGAAGTGGAAGATGCCATCCGAGACCTGCCTGGCGGCAAGTCCCCTGAAGCGGATGGGCTCTCCAATCTATACTATAAAAAATACGCCTCGACATTAGCTCCACACTTGTTGGAAACCTTTCACCAGGCGATGGAGAGGGGAACACTGCCGACAGAAATGCTACTAGCCACTATAGTGACCCTGCCAAAGCCAGCTAAACCGACTGACAGCTACAAAAATTAATACGCAAATATTTTAGCAAACCAACTTGCCCCCCTGCTACACTCACTTATCAAGGACGACCAAACTGGCTTTGTAAAAGGCAGACAGGGCCAGGCTAATACTCGCAAGCTGGCAGTGATATTCCAGCAGCTCAGAGGGACCAGACAGGGAGGTCTACTACTTGCACAAGACGCCGAAAAGGCGTCTGACCGCCTTGGCTGGCCCTTCCTCAAGGGGGTTTTAGAGGCGTATGGGGTCCCACCCCGAGTTAGCCAACAAATATTTGCGCTATATGCAAGCCCCACAGCACAGGTGCTCCAATCGGGGTTCCTCTCCTCCCCATTCCACATAACGAACGGGACGCAGCAGGGATGCCCGCTTTCCCCATTGCTGTACATTTTGGCTTTAAAGCCCTTATTAGAGGGGATTAGAACAAATGATGAAATCCAGGGAGTGACTGTCTGCCACAAAATGATCAAAGTAGGGGCCTTCGCAGACGACATATTACTATATGTAACATATCCACACACCACACTTCCAGTAGTTATGCGGATGATAGCAGACTATGGGAAGGTGTCCTATTACTCTCTCAACACATCCAAAACACAGGCACTATGCAAATACCCTGGTCAAACAACTCCAACAGACCTACAACTTCGAATGGAGGACAGACACCCTCAAATACTTAGGGATTACATATACGAGGGCCCATATAGACCTATTCGCTGCAAACTATGTGATGGTATGTAATAGCTGCCGTACCCTACTTAAGAAATGGTCCCCCATGTTCTTGTCTTGGACAGAGAGGGTCATAGCGATCAAAATATCGATCCTCCCTATACTGCTCTACTTGTTTCACAATTTGCCCCTGGAGCTCCCCAGGTCCTTCTTTAAAACGATACAATCGGACATGAACCTCTTTGTATGGAAAGGGGGCAGACCTAGGGTGACCCAAGCCCTGCTTAACGCGCCTAAGCATGAGGAGGGGATGGGGTTACCCAATATTCAAACGTATTACTACGCAACTGTCATAGACACTGCCCTCCCCCATTTTCTTCACGACCCACCCCCGCAGTGGGTACACTTAGAGCGTGGGCTTATGGCCCCACACGCCTTAGCCAATATAGTATGGATACCAAAAAAATTTAGACCACAGCTGCCTCGAGCACCCCCAACGATTAGATTACTTTTGCAGATCTGGGACAAACATACAACCCTACTAAGTGACCACACTGGCCAATCGTTGGCGACACCAATCACATCACTCGCATACTGCATCCCCACATTCCACGCCTTGCCGTGGCACACTCGAGGTGTCATCCATCTGGAGCACTTGTACAAACAGGGCGTACTACTAAGCTTTGAAGCGTTAGAAAAGCAGTACTCACTGCCCAGGGCATCCCAGTACTCCTACATCCAGCTGAGATCCTTCCTGACCAAACACCACTGTAGAGACGTTGCATCCAACACATTGCCCTTTACACCTAGCGTATGGGAAAAAATGTGTATTACTGGGTTACTCCCCTCTATGTGTAAACCGATCTCCATGAGTTACCGACTACTCTCAAAGCATTTACCATTTGCTGTCTCAAAAATAGCACAACTATGGGAAACTGATCTTGTGGCGGAACCAGCCTCACCACTGGGCATTGGAGAAGACACTATGGCCCCATGTTGAAAGGATGGATTTTCCCCTGCAAAGACCCCAAAGCTGGGTCTTTCGGTACTTTCCCTATGTGAGCAGTGTTACCCAGATAGCTATGCCATGGAGCTCAAAGCTGGAAACAAACAGCTCCCCCCTGTGTACAACGTATACTCACAGATCTGGATACACAATGCTCATATGAGAAAGGATTAAAAATATTATTCCCACCTAATCATACTTCCTTGAAAACATGGGATATGTGGGACTCATGGCGATTGCGTAAAAAACAAAAGTGAATGTACCTATAACTGTGAATGTACCTATATATAACTGTGTATGCACCTGTCGGGTGCAGGCGATTGTACCTACCAGGTGGGCGACAATCAGCAATCAGCAAACCACCGTGAGGACACGGAGAGAGAAAGCTAGACGTAATTACTATTAGGTCTCCCCATAGGGATACGCTAAGTGTATGACAGAAGTACTTTGTCCCATAGAGGAAGTAGAACATACTGTTTAATAGGTATAGAATGTGTATGTCATATGTATATATTGTGTATATTGTATATATTGTATATATTTTACTTGCCTGTTGTATAACAGTGGATACAGTGCATTGATGGAATCTATTTTTTACCTCCTCCCTCCCCCTCCCTCTTATTTTCTGTACCCCCCCCCACTTGCTCGAAAACAATAAAAATTGTCAAATTTAAAAAAAAAAAAACAGAATTAAAAAAGCGCACCTCCTAGTTAACTTTCATTTCCCTAGCAATTAGTACAAAACAACTCTGATATTTACTGTCTGTCTGTCCATCAGTCTATCTATCTATCTATCTATCTATACTAAAAATTTCAAGTAGAGACACAGTGTTATTAGAGTTGTAGCTTTATGATAGACTTTTTTAATTGATAATAGACATTTTACTCAAAATTACAACTGTCAACGCTTGAAAAAACAAAACTTACTCTTGATTCATTCAGTTTTATTTACTAAGCTAAGATTTGCCAGGAATTTCCTAATGAATCCAAATGTTAGTTTTAAAAGATAGCCAACCTGGAATAAGAATTCAATTGCTATTTTTCTTGTTTTTCCCGAAATTTGAATTTCTCTGATCGATGCATAATTAATCTTTATTTGGTGACTTTTGTGTTTCTTTCTATTACCTATATCTCTTGTCCTGTGGACCAATTTTGGGAATCAGGTAACAAAACATGCAGCCTAAATAAGGGGAATGTTGACTTCTTCCATGACATGTAATTAATAGCCAACCCCTCTTGCTTTCTAATTATGGATTACAAAACCACTAAACAAATATTCAAAGTATTGAATAAATTCCCAGAGGTCGTTTTAAATAGGAGCCTGCATTTTTTTGCATTAATTTAGATAAAACTGTTGCAAATTATTTTGTTTCCTTGCTTCCTTCCTTCCTTTAATGTGTCTCCTTTTCATGATTTTGCAGTGATAGACGTGTTTCATAGGAGGCGAAGGTCAAGCACAGAAGGTGATATTAAAAAGGACACAGAGGAATGGGACTGTATTAATCCAGAAGATGTTGACTGACAGCAGACAGCTCAGAAGACCTCATGGTCCCTTTAGCCCCTCGATAGCATAGATCTGGCATTGAAAAGGTTACTGTTTCCTTTACCTTTTTTAGCACAGAGATATGAGACAAAATCTAAAAACAATAATAAACAGAGAGAAAAAAAATGAAAATAAATATTTAAACATCGTGAAGGTATGAGAAATGAATGATACAAGAAGTAATCTGATTAAATACTACACAGAATTAATTAATTCCCCAATTTTATGGCAAGAAACAGGAAGGGATAATGCAATGTCTGAGATAGATTAAATTAGTTACCCATTGTGTAACGGGGAAAGAGGATTATACTAATTGTTGGCTTTAGTGCTGCTCAGTTACAATCTCCATGCTCAGTACTAATAAAAACTTGTTTCGATTACACACAAACAGACCCATAGCACCCAATTTGTTTTTGTTTTTCAAACTACATTTCCCATGGTGCTCAGCCAGACTTTAATTAAGGTTAGCCATCACTGAGATAGATCTATTTCTCAGACCAGGAAATGATGATGTTGTCACCATGATCAACATTATAGTACTTTCTATATCCAACTGCGTTCTTACTCCATGATTTCCTAACAGCACTAATCACCAAAAAATTGGTTAGCATTCTATTCACTAAAACATTTACTTTTCCCCTTTTGGGATTTTTTTCCACTATTGATGGGAGAGGAGTAGACTGATAATCAAATTTTGCATCTACAGTCAGATTAGCCAGATTGAAACTGTGGGATTAATCAAAATAATACAGTACAAAATAAATACGATGGTCAAATATTCTGCTGAAAGGGTTACACAAAGCTCCATGACCATTTTATTGATTTGACTTAGTCTTGGTAAGTGGAGTCTGTATTTGTAGCATTTCACTTTCACACTCTGCACATGTGAAGATTAACCCCTTAAGGACGGCAGGCGTTCTTTTTTGTGTGGCTTTAAACGCTGTCCAGAGGACTTACAGGGACCCCGCCAATCCAACGCAGGCAGTCGCAATCCTGGGGTCTGCCTGGGAGCTTAGGCAGACCCTCACTGCCCAATCTGGCCCTCCCGGGCCATGTGATTTCGGGGTCCTTGCGATCACATGGCCGGAATAGCCAGCGTATGCAGTGCCTGCAGTGGGACTGCCTGAACTCGCAGGCTGTCCCCCTCATGCCTGCAAAAATATATACATGATCTAAGTACACACATAAACGATTATTCTAAATGTATTTTAATATTAATATATATGTTTTACTATTTTGAAACACCAATATTTGTGTTCAGCGAAGTTTCCCAAGTATAACAGTACCTCCCATGTACAGGTTTTATGGTGTGTTTTTTTTTAAAGTTATTGAGTCAAATGTAAGGCTTGAATTTCCTTTTTTTTCACATTGAAATTTGCCCGATTGGTTATGTTGCCGAGGAATGAGAATTACCCCCATGATTGCATACCATTTGCAAAAGTAGACAACCCAAGGTATTGCAAATGGGGTACAAATTAGTGTTTTGCATTTTTACACACAAACAAATATGAACGCTAACTTTGGCCAGTGTTTGCGACTTAGTGGCTACTAAAAAAGACTGGACATAACCCATTTGTAATACCTTGGGTTGTCTACTTTTGCAAATGGTATGCTATCATGTGGGTAATGTTCATTCTTGGACTACCATACGGTCTCAAAGGCAACATAACCAGTTTGGCAAATTTCAATGTGTATATACTGAAAAATTTAATGTGTTGTATTTGGCCTTGTAACTTTCCAAAACACCATAAAACCTATACATGGGGATACTGTTTACTTGTGATACATCATAGAATACAAATATGTGTACTTTATTGCAGTAACAGCTAACAGTATTGTGACATTCACAGTTAAAATGCTATGCAGAGCTAAAAAAATAACAACAGTTCTTAATTTCTCACATTATTTTACATTTTCTTCATATTGAATTATGTTTAATATATAAATATTTGATGTGATACGAAAGCCCTGTTTCTCCTGAACAAAATAATATATAATATATGTGGGTGAATTTAATATGAAAGAGGTGAATTACAATTGAACAGACATATTAAAAAAAATTCCAGGTTTTGTTTACGTACAATTGGCTCATTCCTTAAGGGGTGTTAATTACTCTGCTTCTGGAGGTGTAACCCCACCTCTTGCAGAATCATAGTGTGTCATTAATCAGCCTCTATCCAGTAAAGTCTGCTCTGGATCTACCATTGAGTGCCTGGACATTTTCTTTGTTGTTACATGGAAGGTATGTTGTGCCACCTACCCTCCTAATTTACATAGCGGAATTAGCTGGCGCTATATAGATACCAATAATAATAATAATAATAATAATAATAATCTGTGAGGCACCTTGTTATTATTGTTTGATTTTAAAAAGAAACCAGCTTGAGAGCATTGTTTGTAGAAACATTTGTGTAGTCAATTGATCTCTCTCAATTAAGAATATTCTATATCAAATTTCAAAATTGAAAGTACCACTAGTAAGATGCAATGGTGCTGTGGCATCCCACTTAAAGGGAAACCATCATCATTCCTTTTAAAAAAAAAAAAAAAAAATATTACAAGTAATGTAACCTCTGTGTGTTATTTGCTAAGTGACACGTACAGATTAAATTAATTTTCAGTGTATCTCATTGCTTCCTGTGTGCCACCATCGTTAGTCCTCTTTGTTCCGAAGGACCACTTACATGCTAAGACCACAGTTTGGAGGTCTGAAATTATTCAATCATTTTGAGATGTCTGTCACTTACAGGTAATTTAAGGGTTTGTGAAGGCATATTAGCTTTCGATTGTCAGCTCGGTTTTCAGTCGGATAAGCTATGCTTCCTATCAAAAAGGACTTAAAGATGTACTCCTCCATAGAGCAAGACTTATCCAGGGTAAACAATGAAAATGAGTATTTACGGGACTTATGCAAAAAATGTTTGGGCCAGTTTGTCCGAATTAAATTTCTTTGAATCCATACAGAACAATCCACCCAGACTATACAAGTGGAGTCCTATTTAATTAATAAGATTCCACTGGTAGATCCCAGGTGAATTGATTCTTTCCATGCAGAGTGAGAGGAATTTGATTCGAATTAAGCTGTCAAAATTTTTTTTTGTATTTACTTACATGAGTGCCGTACACAATACTTCATACAGCTGCTATAATAAATGTAATCTTTTGATTTCAGTAACAAAAAAAAATGTTGATAGTTTTCTTGAGTTGTGTATAGCTGTGGGAGGAAGGACCACACAAACAAGTGAAAAAAAAAGAAAATTGACCAGACTCCTTTGCATACTTACTCTTGGTTTCCTTTCTGGGTAGAATTCTAAACCTTTACATCTGGTAATCCACAATATACATCGTTTTTGTGTTCATAATATGATGTTCAAACAATACAAGCAAGTGAATTACTGTTTTGGCTGTAGTGGAAATACACACTTTTCTATAGCCAAGAATGCTATAGAAAAGATGAGCAAGGTTAACTCAGAAAATAATGTTTACACATTTACTGGCCACTATAATCATTTTTGATAATACAGAATTCTAGAAGGACATTCTCACTCTGCTTTTGCAAACATTTTGACAAACAAAAACAATAGTTCTCACTTAATAGAATCTATTCCATAAATAGATCATTTCAGAGCGTTAACATAGGAAATGATCATTTTAGGCAACAACAATTAAATTATGGAAAATTACAAAACTGGACAATTTTTTTCCAGCCTGGTTACTTTGACATACATTTTGCAATTCTGGTGTCTGTCCTAACAAACACTGTTTTAGTGAATAAGTGCAAAGTCATTTGCTTCTATAAACTAAGGCTTTAATGTATCGTTGTGTTATGTCTTAAAATTCACCAGCAAATGCAGATTAATTACGGGAACACAAATTGCCACTAAAGATTATAACCGTAACGAAGTCTTCTTCCATGTTGCATCCTTATCTAAATACACTTGCGACAGTTCCACTTATGTTAAGCTCAGAGAAATATTACCCAGCACATAAAGCACTTACTTAAAATGAAATAACAATATCATAATGCAATTATGAACATTTTTAATAATGGATTGCTACTTATTTGATAAGCAGATGAGTCATGCAGTTGAAAATGTACACTTTAGACCATCCCATTATATTATTTTATTTGTTTGCTTTTCTATGCAGATTAACTTACAAAAGATGTATTTGTCCTATATTAACAGCTGAAACCCTTGAATAAAACCCAGACCCTTAGCAATATGTAGAAATTACCCAAAGGGTGAATATACGCTGTGCTTATTTGATTTCCTGCTGTTTGGCATATCTGCTGCTGATATGCTTAGATAACAGAATGGTCCAGAGCTAAGAGGGTTCTGTTGCTCCTAGCAATATACTATCTTGTTTGCAGGCTCCACATACTTAACTCCTTGGCGCCAGGAGTACAGATTTGAACGATGCTAAATGCATTACCATTTAACACTACGTGATCCCAGCCAGTGGTCAAAGTATTGGTGTTATTTTAGGACATGAAGCATCTCGTAAAAGGAGAAACCGTCTGTAGCAAATGAAACAAATACATGACAAAATCATTAATAATTTCCCGAAAGGCAAAAAAAAAGAAGAAGAAATTACTAGAATTTCTCTCTGTGCACTTATCCCATTGAGAATGTTACTGTAACACATTGCAATAATCATTACCTTCACATCCTATTAATTATAATGTGCATCAGTAGAAATTAAATAATTACTTATTACATAAAAGCTTTATGAAGTCTTACAGGGTGAGTTTATATTAATCTTTAAAGTTATATGTAAAGTGTAATATGTATTAAAGGGACTCTATAGTCACCAAAAAACTTTAAATTTTTAAGCTTTTAATTTTTAACTTTTAAGCTTAATGAAGCAGTTTTTGAGTTTAGATCTTTCTTCTGATGTTTCCCTCAAATCTTATCATTTAGGAGTTAAATCCCTCTTATTTCTATTTATGCAGACCTAGCCACACCTCCCCTGGCTGTGACTGACACAGTCTGAATGAAAACAAAATGGTTTCATTTTTTAATCAGATGTAACTTTTTATCTCCTGCTCTGGAAATGGAACTTAAATCACACACAGCAGGCTCCTGCAAGGTCTAGCTAGCTATTCACAGAGCAGGAGATATAAAATTCTAAATTAAACAGAATTTGCAATAAAGGAAGTGTAAACTTTAGATGACTCTTTGCAGTAAGTGTTTAGGAAGTCACATGTTTGGAGGTTTGACCAAGGCTGCATAAACAAAGGGATTTAACTCCTAAATGGCAGAAAATTGAGCAGTAAGACTACAGGGGCATAATGTATACACCAAAACGTATTCATTAAGCTAAAGTTGTCTTGGAGACTATAGTGTCCCTTTAAGGCTTGAATAAAGGTGACATTTTGGATGAGTTACCTAGGCATATGAGAATAACTATAAATACTGATTCATGCTGAGGATGGACGTATTAGCCCTTTAGTACAGAAATCCTCCATTTTCACTCCAATGGGAGGGAGTGATTCTACCTCATAACAGGAAAACATATATGTCAAACTCAGCCACATTGAATCAGTTTCGTGCAGGGGCCTCTGGCTCTCAATATACGAAGTGACTGGCACCTGGTGAGCCCCAGGTAATTTGTCCAAACATTAGCAAATTGTTTGACTGCTTACATTGGGGTGGGGGGATACCAGGGAACTCCTACACTATAACCATGACAGCATACTGTAGTGGTTATGGTAGGTGGAATGTTCCTTTAACTCTTTATTTGCACAGTATGGCAAGTTAAGATAGGTGCCTCAACTCCTACTTTTTATAATAGTGATAGAAAGTAATTTGAAGACTTCAATCTCAATATATTTATTATTTTATTATGATCAAAATAAGGAATGGATGAAAGCCCTATTTGGTGCTTCACATTAGTTATTGCATCTGTATTACTAAGACTTACTTCATTTTCTTGTCAACTGTGAAGAAATATTATCAGAAAGGTTTCGAACATATTCTCAATGCGTAGTTACTTAAGATCTTTCTGAGTGTGGGAATATCAGGATGCATAGTTATATATCATCATGGGTAATGTGAGATGTAAGATGCATGTTTCTATGATACTTTTTTTAGCAGGGGATATGATAATATGTAATTATATGAGATTGTTGACAGTGGGGAAATCATAATTCATATTTCTATGTTTCTCTACAGTTTTTGGAATGGGGGGTTATCAAGAGGGATATTCTTATAAAATCTTTGGCACGTGCATACATGCATACATGTATCTATATGTATGATAGTAAGGGTGGGAAGATTGTTTAAAGATATTTATCATTTATAAAGAGATAATTAATAATATATTTACATACTATATGAGAGAGTAATGAAGAGGCAGAAAATGTAGGTTGATTTATCTAGAATTGTTAACTTTAAATCTTGCATGCGACATATAGTTAAAAAGTACAGATTAAAACCTAAACCGATCCACGGATCTGCAAGGCAATGCGTGGGGCAGCAATTTTCAGTTATGGAAAAAGACTAAACAAATGGATTAGTTTCAAACATAAAAGACACAACAGAGATACATAGAAGGGGATTTTATTACTTTATTCATATTCGCTCAAGGTCAGTGCAGGAACCTCTTAAGAGAGCTTTCATCCCATGGGTCTAATGACCCAAGGTCATCATTAGACACAACGTTTGATATTACTTAAAACCGTGGGCCATGTTTTGTCTTAGGAATAGCAATAATTCTAAAAATCCATTTTATGTCAGTGTACTGTTTGTGTTTTACATTGTGACAGACACAGAACAAAATGAGATGAATACAGTGTTTGAATTACAGCATAAAGCTTTAAATGGTGTTTGGTGTCATTCAGTTCTTTGTCACAACGCTATTTCATGATGTGATTTTTTTTTTCTTTTGGCATTGGTACAAAATGCTGTTAAAATATCATATATTATCAATAAAACAAGTATTTCATCACCCTGTGTATTGCGCTTTTACAATGTGAAATCTAAAACCAGATGTCACAGAAAAGTTTGAGCAGATTGATGGACGTAGTTTGTGCGTCTCCAGCTGATTCGCGAGTCGGTGGCTAATAAATGCTCTGAGGCCTCTGTGAGTCTTTGTAAGAAACCCAAAGTGTTAGTCCTTCATACTGCACAGAAAGCTTGCGAGCCACTAAACACAGTAGTCATTTGAACTCTGTATGTGGTATATGTGATCCCTTGAGGCTGGACCTGCCATGGTTCTGACAAGTCAAGATTAATGTGGGAATGGGAGAATTCTCAAAGGCGAGACTTGAATGGCAGGAAAAGAAAATTCACAGAACTGAAACACATGTTTATTATTATTGTGTAAGTTTTTAGCCCATATTTTATTTTGAGTCAGTAAACAAACAGAAGGAAATTTTACCACAGTTAACAGGTTTTAAGTACATTTTTTAAAAAGATTCTTAAAAAACACTTATTAAACCAATGTGCTCTGCTTATTTCATAATCTAAAGGTAACTTTTTGCCTTGTTGTTTGCACACTATTTGTCATGCTCCCTGTTTCGAATGAGGTATAAAAATAGATTTTCTTTCACATTAAAAATGTTTTTTTGCTCTTTTCAACATTTATTGATAAAGTTATTTAGTAAATTGTAATGAACTATTTCCGTGCCAAAGAGGCATTCATTTATTTAAAAAAAATACACAGCTTTTTCTCTGGCGACCACAAAATCAATAATATTGAGTTCCTGAAATAATTGAATGGAGACAGTGACCGTGTTTGTATATGGTAAGTGATAATCAACATAGATAATTATAAGGTTACAAATTTGTTAGAAATACCTAAGCACACTCAATATCAAATATTTTTTGGCAACAACTTGTTTTTACAAATGATGTGCTGAGTCTATCACTGATGTATATTGTTGATTAGTACATCAACACTGGAACAATGTCACAGTGCCTGCAAGAACTATATCTCCTCACTACTGGCAGAGTCTAAGGTTCCAGACTCAGCAGTTGCAGTAATGTAGTCAAGTTGCCAAAATATGACATCTAGACAAACGAAAACTTTCTTTAAGTTGCCAATCAAATGTATCGGGAATCAATCCCACATAAGTGCAAACAGTGGACACCATGGGCAGAAGAGAACTAAATGAATATTGAGATCTATCATAATGAACAAAATGTTATAAATATAAATACATGTAATTGGTTAAGGGGGAGTATAATCATTAAGATTTAGGAGCATACCGAATTAAAACTGTAAGAAAAAGTAAAATCCAGGAAAGGATAATACTGGAAGGGTGAAATGATCACTATAAAAAGCTAGTTATCATCTGTCTTCTGTCTGTTTGTCTGTCCGTCTGTGAATTGAATCTGTGATCAAAGTTTTGACCCCTCCTCTGGTCTGTCTCAATCATTTGATTATTTGATCATTTGAAATTAAAAGTTTATTTGTTGGATTGCAAAGGCCGTAAATTTGCCAAACTTCTTCACTACTTTTATATATAATATGTGTTTATATACGTACATATAAGTGTGTGTGTACATGCAAGTCAATCTTAATGGACTTAGTGGGGTATTTTTTTCCTAGATTGAATGTGTATTTTTGAATAAATGTGTGTTCATTTGAAATTATACTGCATTATCTGCAAAATTTAAATAACTTGTATTTAGAGGTTGTATGAATATTTCGAGTTAAACTTTACTTGCGCTAAGTTATTGGAATAAATACATGTAACAACTATATCAGTAGAAGATTCCATCAAAGCCATAAACATATTTGAATATAATAGTTTAATCAGTTATATTAGAATAGTCACAAACCATGATCTCAGAGAATTAAATTAGAATTGATTAAATTTAAAGCTTATTTCAGATTAGAATGTAAACTTTACTTTAACTAACTTTGTAAAAAAAACAAAATATCTTTAGTGTTGCAGTCACATGACCAGAACATGCCTTTATGCCCAGGAAAACACTTCAATATATTCTGTTCAGCATACTCTAGAAACTTCACACCTTTACACAGAATAAATCAGTTGGTTTGCCAAGATTCTACGGGGCCGTTTCTCTTTTTTTTTTTCTTTTCACTTTCCTGTCCTCTGACCTCCCTTGCTTCCTCTGAACTTGGCTCCATCGTTACTGCCATATGTATCACATAACTTCAATACACCTGCAATTTGGTCAGCTATTTGATTACATGCTTCAACTAGCAAAGAAAAAAAATCAACGTGGCACGTTAATTGCTAATGGTGACCTAATTGTGCTAATTCTGTGAAATATTAAAAAAAAAAAGTGAATGTTGAGTTATTTTTTTACTGTTACCTGTTTATTAAATGTATGGTTGTTGTTGTTTTTTTCATCTTAGCCTTATTTATTTTTTCTTCTTCAATCTTTCTGAATAGATGTCTCTCCTGGCTTTAAAATGTTTTGCTATACCCAGGTGAAATAATATATTCTTCCAATCTTCGTTGTTTTCTGAAACCATAGGTTACAGCTAACTTTGTTGAGTTCTTGATTGTATGGCAAGGCAAGCTACTTAAATTTACTTCATTTAAGTAGTATATATATTTATATATATTGTAACGGCACCCTCAGGCATAAAAGGGTTAAACCGCCGTTCAGTAGATCTTCCCCTTCCAGAGACACAGGCACAGCTACTGTAGACACCAATCCACCGAACCGGAGAAGCATATGAATGCTGTAAACAGCCTAACCGGAACCATACGAATGCTGTAAACAGCCGAATAGGAAAAACCATACAAAAGGTTTACACTCCTAGCAGTCGAACTGGAACAGCATACCATAAAACCCCCCAAGAACGAGACAAGGCTCCGTTTTGAGGGTCAAGCAGGAACAGACTGTGGGTTTATTGTTCTTATATACACATTAGTACCATCCACAAGGTGTTGGAAAACAACCAATAAACACGTACAATACACTCAGACACTCCCACACAAAATCCTCCCCTCTGCCTGTGATACAATTACCTTACACAATGGGTAATGTAATTATCACAGCCAGAGAAATACAGTTTTTCCACATTATTCATAACTTGAAAAGTATGCATCACATTCACATAAAACTACATTACTGAATGGCGCTCAGAGCACACACATACAGTTCAATTGCCATGGAGCCAAAGTCTTTCCCATAGTCTTTCATTATACGAAATAAAAAAAAATAAAAAATAAAAATAGGATGACTTACTGATTTAAATAATTAATATTATTATTATTGCCATTTATATAGCGCCAACAGATTCCATAGCGCACAATATTATGAGAGGGGGATTTAACTATAAATAGGACAATAACAAAAAACTTATGGGAACAATAGGTTGAAGAATACCCTGCTCAAACGAGCTTACAGTCTATAGTATCTGTAATATACTGTAGATGCAAAATGAAGCTTTTATTTCATACTATGGCACACAGTTAACAATCCTACTACCGAGAAGATGACCAACAATCCAATCCTATGTTGTATTATCTGTCTGTCTGTCTATCTAATCGAGTTAACTTTATTTTACTGCTGTGGCATCTATCAGTCTGGAAGACATTTTTAGGATAGGTAAGCTACATGCAATATGCGATCTTTTGCTTAACGTCTAGTAACATGATATACATCATATCAAAAAAAGAAACAAATTAATATTTTCTCCAACTCGCTTCATTTTCTTAAATGCCTAACTTAAATTGGGAATTATGTGATGACCTGCACTGTCATAAACAAATATATATATATGAAAAGTCCATCCTTGCAAGCGCGCTGTCTTGGCGTCATACTTGATTCTGGCCTCACCTTTGAGCCTCACATCCAGTATGTTGC